GTGATTTATTCTCAGGACCGGGGCCACTACGACAGTTATTCCAGGCGGCAGTTTGTTTTCAGGTCCGGAAACGTTGCGGCATTCTATATCAGGTTCGGAACAGGTTAGCATGACATGATTGTACGGGTTCGGCATCCGCATGGCACAACAGCCCGTTACTGGATTTCGGGTTTGGTCAGGTTCGGTGGCATCGCGGTGTTTCGTTTCAGGTTCGACGTCCTCACGACAGTTTATTTCGGAACCTCTGCGGTGATTTATTTTCAGCTCCGGGATCATTGCGACGGCTTACTTCAGGTTCGGTACTATTACCGCGCCGCTGCATCTTGCCGTGTTCGACATGTTTCAGGTACGATATTGGTTCGGCATTGGCGTGGTACACGCCACAGCATCATTTTCAGACTTGGTACTGGATCGGTATCGACACGCACGAGGCATGGGATCCCCGGATGGTTATATCAGGTTCGGCTTCGGTATGGTAAGAATTACAGCAAGCCTGACTGAGTGATCCGGGTTTGACATTGACAGGTACGGATTGCTGAGATATAACGTCGAGACAAGTTCTAGTTGGCTAGTTCAAGGTTCGGAATTGGTATGGTGACGCCGCAACTTGTTCCATGGGACACTGCAACGGGGTACCACTATTTTCGTGTGTGTACTAGCCTGGGACACTTACGCGCGCTGATCCAGCGATCGGTCGGAGATTGCCACATTTGCTCCGGTTCTTTGGGACTTGGTACCGTCAAACTACCGGTATACGGGTAGTGTGGCCAGCGGCAGATAGAAGTGTTAACCTTTAGACATATGCAGACTAAGGGGGGGTTGGGTGCAGAGCTGTTTTTTTTTGGTGGGATTGGGCTCAGCTTGCCTGGCTCAAGGGACTACTTCTGCTACCCGAAGATYACTGGTACTGCAGGGTCTGAAGGGCCACGCGGTTTCGCAAGGTACCGTGCGGAAACTGGCAGTACAGGTGGATCCGCATGGGGGCCCCTGCCCCGACGCCGTGGCCACTACGGGCCTAAGTGCTTAGTCGCTCAGMTATCACTGACCCGCTAAAGCCCGTGGCAARGAGGGGGATGTAGGGGACTATCTCGGCTCGGAACCATTGCGAAACTCGTCGGAGCTGTCTACGCCAGTGGGCTGGAGCTGGTGCCTGGGTACTSTGGACGCCGAGCCTGTGAGACCGGTACCACTGTTTTCTTTTTCCTCCGTGGCGCATCGGACTATTTCCTGCACACTTGCACTCCGAGAAGGCCCTGGTCGGTCAGACCATGGGACTGAAGGGGATATAGGGGAGAGCAGTGAAGGGAATGGGATTGCATGCCAGGTGTGCCCGGCGTCAAGCAGTTGCAGAATGGGAGACGAGCTCGAGGCGAAGACGCGTCGGCGCTCAGGCGGTTACTTGCGTGTGAGAGGGAGAGTGAGAGAGAAGGGGACTGCACAACGGGAGTGAGAGACTGCGTGAGAGAGAGAGCGGACAGAGTGTGAGAGAGAGAGCGGACTGAGTGAGAGAGAGAGAGAGAGCGGACTGAGTGGAGGAGAGAGAGAGCGGACTGAGTGGAAGAGAGAGACARCGGACTGAGGGAGTGAGAGAGAGAGSGGACTGAGTGGAAGAGAGAGAGAGCAGACTGAGAGAGTAGAGAGYGGACTGAGTGAGAGAGACAGAGAGAGGAAGGGAGAGAGAGATACTGCACAGTGAGAGAGAGAGACTGTGCAGTGAGAGAGTGAGGAAGAGACTGTGTCTATGACAGATGTGTGCGTGAGAGAGCAAGAGAGGGAGTGAGAGAGAGATAGACTGTCTGGCATTCCCGCTGCGAGCGGGGGTACTTGTTAGTGTGACCAATCAAGCGGACCCAGCAGCAGGTCCTCATCAATCAAATACCAATGTGAGATTCCCGCTGCTAGCGGGGGTGCTTTTCAGTGTGACCAAGCAAGCGGATCCTGCTGCAGGTGCTCATCAGTGAAATACTAATGTGACATTTCCGCTGCTAGCGGGGGTATCAGTGTGACCAATCAAGCAGATTCGCATCAGGTGCTCATCAGTGAAATACTAATGTGACGTTCCCGCTGCTAGCGGGGGTATCAGTGTGACCAATCAAGCAGATTTGCTCCAGGTGCTCATCAATGAAATACCAATCCGGCATTCCCGCTGCTAGTGGGGGTATCAGTGTGACCAATCAAGCAGATTTGCTCCAGGTGCTCATCAATGAAATACCAATCTGGCATTCCCGCTGCTAGTGGGGGTAACTGTGTGACCAATCAAGCGGACCCTGTAGCAGGTGCTCATCAATCAAATACCGCTGCTAGCGGGGCTGCTTTTCAGTGTGACCAATCAAGCGGATCCTGGTGCAGGTGCTTATCAGTGAAATACTAATGTGACATTCCCGCTGCTAGCGGGGGTATCAGTGTGACCAATCACGCAGATCCGCTGCAGGTGCTCATCAGTGAAATATCAATCAAACATTTCCGCTGCGGGCAGGGATGCTCTTCAGCGTGACCAATCAAGTACATTCCGCAGTCGGTGCTCACCAGAGCGATAATAGTCTGACCTTCCCGCTGCTAGTGGGAACAGCGCTCACCAGCAAAACTGATCAGAAAAGTGATCCCGTTGCCAACGGGAACGACGCCCTTCGGTGAACGGCGTATCAAGCAGCTCCGCTGTCGATGACCGAGCAATTGAGCCTTCCCACTGTTGGAGGGGTTAGTGTTTTCCTCAGAACGGCGAATAGCCCATAAGCTACTCGTAGGTAATCTGTGCGCTGCAGCAAATGATGCTCTCCATTCCCCACCAAACTGAACTTCAGAGTTATCGGTCATTCAATGTGATCAATGTTACCTTAAATATTTGATTTTTCCTTTCTACCCTTCCCTTTTCCCCTCGCCAGTCAGAGAGAGAGAGAGAGAGAGAG